TCAAAGTGACTATATAAAACAGTGATTTATTTTCATTATATCAACTTTGCAATTATACAGAATAAGTGTAGGGAGTTAAATGACAATGGAATCAGAAATTAGAAACCAAATAAGACAATGACAAATAATAATTAGCTACAATGTAAATACAACTTAATTAATAGCAAGTAATTGTTGATGCTGTTGGTTTTACAGTTATAATATTGTTTAAAATGTTTTTATTTCGGTTAAAATATGTCCTTACATCTTGCCCTTCAGTCAAGAGAGAGAGAGAGAAACAAAACAACAATGTAAGGCTCTGTAAGATGTGTGTCACTAATCTTGAACAAGAAACACTTAAAGATAAGAAGTTTTAACACATTTCATCTTTTCCTTTTGTTGGTACTGGATACGAGGATTGTCTACAAAAGACACAACATGACGTTCGAATAAAAAAAGTTAAACAGACCAAATAGAGTACTAAGTTGAAGAGCATTGAGAACGCAATATGAAAATGTTTAATCAAATTATTTCCTTTTTTTCATAATTTATTTTTTTCTTCATGAATTTACAGGTATCAGCATATATTTATCTTGTGGCACAATAATCAAGCAAGTGAAATATATAAGCATAATAAGCATGCTATGGTTTAACAGTATGAAATCAATGGATTAAGTATAGTAATAACATTTTCATTTATATAATAATAATAGTAATAGTAGTGCAAGAAATATATGTACATGCATATGGTATAACAATATACATATACTTTCAAATACTTATATACACACATATGTTTATGCATTAACCTCATTTAAATTCAATCAGTGACCTTAGCCCAGGGGTTCCAGTACAATTTGTGTTCTTCCACACTTAAATATTTTGAGGAAATATGTTTCTCTAAAATCAAGTTTTCTTTTATGTAATTTTGAAGTCCTTTTATATGAGGTTTTATATCTTGCATCTTAGATCTGTAAATGAAGTACTTTGTCAGTAAAATAACTTTATTTTTGATAAAATTCAATTTATAATTTTCATGGAGGCCAAAAATGACAATATTCAAATTTACTGGAATTTCGATATGAACTATATCGAAAATCCAAGAATTTAGATTGTGCCAAATGTCGGCTACAATATGACAACCCCAAAGTAAATGTTCTATAGTTTCTGGCTCTTATTTGAAAGATGTACACAAATTACAATTAACAAGGTTCATTTTAAAGAGTAGAGCGTTTGCACCCAAGATGTAATGAATAATTCTATATTAAAACCAACATAACCTAGTGTTTTTTGAAACCTTGGTAACACAAAAGTGTATTTTGTCCAATTTTCTACAACTTTATTTAAAATACCTTCCCATTTTTTTTCTGCTGCTATAGGTATAGTACCTTGATTTAAAATAGTATACATGTCCTTTGATCCCTTTTTTTTGACTTGAAGTAAATATTAATATTAAAAGTATAATAGCCTGATGTTTTTTTTCTCTTTCAGTGTTGATTCCAATGGCTTGTAACAACTTTTTTAGTGCTAGTATAAGCCCGTAAAACTGTAGAAACATGGGTTTGAAATTTTACATTATTTCAAAATTTTCATATGTTAATATATTTCCATGTTCATCTAACAGGTCATTTACAGTCCATACCCCATGATGTGCCCAATTTTTATAGTAAACGCGCTGACATTATGCTCGTTATTCCATATAGATGCCGAAATGACTTCTTCAAAATGAAATGGACGTCTGAGTTTTAACATACTTTTCCAGGCATGAAAAACTTCATCCCAAAATTTGTTTTTTGATTTTTTAATGATTCCAAAATAAGCCAACTCTGTAAAATTTATATTTTGTGTGGAGTTAAATAATTGTATTCATTTAAATTTTGACCCCTCTGTAGTTTTCATGACAAAGAAGATCCCGCTTTATCTTGTCAGGCTTATCATCCCAAATGAATGAGTAAATTTTACTATTAAGTTGACGTATCATATTATCATCTGGACCTGGGATGGACAGGAACAGATGATTAAATTTTGATATAATTAGTGACTTTATAATTGTTATTTTACCAAACGGGGTAAGTGACTGTTTTGACCATTTTTGTAATATTTTTTCTATTTCTTGTATTCGAGGAACATAATTTAGGTTTAACCTTATATCTAAATCAACACAGAAAGTGATACCCAATAATTTGAAGGTACTGGAACCCCATTTCAGTCCCCATTACACATATTTTGTCTTGACTATGTCTTTTAATACCTATCCATATAACGTTTGTTTTGTCTAAATTAATTTTCAGTCCTGATATCTCAGCATAGAATTGTAATATACGGAGAGATGCATCCAGTGAGGAAAGCGACCCATCTAAAATAAGTGAAGTGTCGTCTGCATATTGAGACAAGATATACTCTGAATCATCTATCTACCTTTATCTCATCACTATTTCTTACTATAATGCCTAATACAGCACATGGCAAGAAAAGGTAAGGAGACAAAGGATCCACCTGCCTACAGCCTCTCTCCACACGGAAAAAGTCTGACAGACAACAGTTCTGGGTGACGGTGGATGTAATATCATTGTAAAATGTTTTTATCCAGTTTATAATAGAGTCTTCAAAATTAAAATACTTCAGTGTTTCAAAGAGAAAAGCACATGATATGGAGTCAAAGGCCTTCTCAAAATCAATGAGTAATAATATACCAGGGATATCATTTTCTTCTGTAAAGTGTAAAATATCATATAAAAGTCTACAGTTCTCCCCAATAAATCTACCAGGGATAAAGCCTGTTTGATCAGAGTCAATAATTCTGTTTAGAACTGACTTTATCCTCTCAGCTATACAACTAGAAGCCAGTTTGTATGTTGAGTTCAAAAGTGTAATTGGACGCCAATTTTTTTAAGAACTGTTTTGACTTGCCTTCTTTTAGAATACATGTGATAACTCCCTGCCTCTGTGTGACAGACATTTCCCTTATTTGATATGAATAATTTATTGACCTCAAGACAAACTTTCCAATGTCTATCCAAAATAATTAAAAAAATTCTGCAGTAAAACCATCTGACCCAGGACTTTTATTATTTTTCATCCTTTTCAAAGCATGTGTTGATTCAATACAGGAAATGTTACCTTCTAAGGATTCTTTTTCGTTATCGTTTAATTTAGATGTCAAAAATGGTAATTCCCTTGAAAAGTTTACTTTCTTAAGACATTCTTGTCTTTTGTAAAGTTTCTCATAAAGCATTTTTGATTGTTTTAAGATTTCTTTTTGATTTTCTACTACAGTATTTTCATCAATAACTAGTTTTGTAATAGTTTTATTGACAAAGTTGTGTGTGTCTAAATTAGAAAAGAAATTAGTTGGCCTCTCTCCTTCTTCAATCCATTGGGTTCTTGACCTAACATATGAACCTTTAACCTTTAACCTTGTTCTGTCTCAAAATTCAAATTATTTTCTTATAGCATATACCAAATATCTAATCTTCAGTTCAAAATCTGTTCGCAAGAATAAAAGTGGCGGAAAAAAAATAATGATTAAAAACAAATTGAAGGTCTTATCAACATTAGATTCTCAATAATTGACAAGATGCTTCCTGCTGTTTACTCAAAGTTGGTGTTCAACCATAGGTTTCTTCATACTGATTAAAAAATATATGATTTCTATATACTTTTGTCTGAAATAAGGGAGATAATTTGCTTCTTCCGGTTTAGCAGTGACGTTCGAATAAAAAAAAGTTAAAAGACCAAATAAAGTACTAAGTTGAATAGCATTGAGGACGCAATATGAAATGTTTAATCAAATTATTTCCTTATAGCATATACCAAATATCTATTCTTGCAGAACAAAGAATAAAAGTGGCGGAAGAAAAAAAATTAACAATTAAAAACCAATTGAAGGTCTTATCAGCATTAAATTCTCAGTAATTGATAAGATGCTAACTGCTGTTTACTCAAAGTTGGTGATCAACCATAGATTTCTTCATACTGATTAAAAAAATATATGATTTCTATATACTTTTGTCTAAATTAAGGGAGATAATTTGCTTCTTCCGGTTTAGAAAATGCTACTTGTTTCATATAATAGGTTACTTCACACTAATCTGAAAAAAAATAGTTTCAGGTGCTTTCAGATGAAATCAGTAATGAATGGTTATTTCGGGTTAACACAAGGTCACTTCCGGCTTACCTTTTCATTTTCAAGGTAACATTTTTTCCAACCTTACGCATAAGACCCCATGGCTCTATCATGTGAAAATAGAAAGTTATAGCAACATTTCAAAATCTACAATATTGAATTAACCTTTGACTTCGATCTTGATTTCAAGGCCATTGGGAAAGGACTTTATATCAAAAGAACTTAGGTCCCTACTACGTATTGGTAAACAGTTTTATTACCATACGTCTTAATTGTATTACCATACATCTTAATTTGAACTTTCGTGGGTAGGAAACACCTGTTAAATGTCATTGTATCCCATCAAACGAAAAATTTCCTGTTAGGACATGTTGCAACTAACAATTGAGTGAAAATCTTTTGTCGATATATACTACTGATGCTTAGAAGAAGATTGCACAAACAAAAGCAAAAACTAAAACATGACCTTCACCTTTGACCTTGACCGCATTTTCTTTTTGGTGAACCCACGACCTCAAACCAAAAGACCCTATGTGTCTATTACTATGGTTTATAAGTTACTATTATATTTCACTTATGTCGAATACATAAAGGGAAATAACTCGCATATGGAATCTTAAAATTTCTTCTATCAAAATTATTCTCGACAAACAGAGGATATAACGAGAAATTTGGTAAAATAATATTTATTTTTATCTTTTTTTTGTTGTTGCGAAGAAGAAGTGCTAAAAAAACAGTGCTCGTTGAGATAACTCTTATACAGTAAAATGTTTGTTAAAACGGTGTCAGTTTCAAAAGAGTATTATCTGATTGATGTCATATACCAGATTTCAAAATGACATCTTGCAAAACAACAAAATCTCCCAAGAAAAAAATAAGGAGGAAAAACAATTTCCACCTAAACGTCGATAATGAAGGATTAGGTTTTAGAAGCGTTGTTAGAAAAAACGCACTTCAGCGACTAACCGTGGCACGTCAGCATAACATCGCGGTTCGGAGTACAATTGCGGTCCTAAATATACCGGGTATATTAACATATCATAAATATTGATTATTGAGTAACTCTAGATAAATATCCGATGATGTCTAGAAACACAAAGAATGAAATCGCAACAGAAATAATAACTCCACCAAGTACCCCTAAGGCTCTGGATGAATACCTCTCGTCAGGAGCGCTCACTATCGATCTCAAATACTCTGTAATAAAAAGTATTCATTAGTAGATATTTGAAAAAAATGTAAAAATGTACCAGTGAAAAAAATAAAAGTCATAGTATAATTCTACGAATTATTTTTAAGGTAGATAACTGAAACATTAAAATCATTCTGAGTCTTCAGTTTAACACCCCTTACAACATGTATACAGACTATACACGAGACAAGATACAAGGTTCCTTAACGACATAACGCATTTCAACATTTCATTTATTTGCATAGTAATATGCTGGACCTCGGTGCTTTGCTTATGCGCCAATTGGCATTTCATATGCGCCACAAACCAAAATTTCATTTGCGACAAAAATGAAATCTTTCATTTGCGCCAATATTACAGGTAAATACAGGTAAATAGTATTAAAAATAGATTTTTCAAAAATGTCTTTTAATAATAAAGACAGTTTTTGTTTGCATAATTAAACATATTCCTCAGAAATCAGTCATCATAAACCATACAAGTAATGTTAAAACCTTGATAAAACACTTCTACTTTCTGCTGGTGTACGACATGGTTGTGTTCGTTCAAAGTTTTAATAATTGTTTTGTTGTCTATATCATCTGTTTTTCTGGCTTTGCAAGTTGTCCATATCAGCTGTTCTTCTGGCTTTGCAAGTTTTGTTTAGTACACCTAAATGACTTGTCTCCATTTTTCAGAACATACGATAACCTCCAAGTGTGGTCATAAAAAATTACAGACTTATTTCCTCTGTTTGTCTCTGAATTGACAATGTCCATCTTTGACACAGCAAACATGTGAACACTATAATTCTAAACCTTAGTGACTCTCAGTTTTGTATTAGAAATGAGTATGGACTCACTCAATTACCCAGTGGGAATACTGTAGAAACAAATTTTATAAAGCAATAAATATTTTTAAACTTTTCCGTTATATCTTACATGTATTACCTGTAAAATGGCGCAAATGAAGTTTTTATTTTTTGGCGCAAATGAAAGATTGGATTTTTTTAAAATTGGCGAAAATGCAATAACTGATCATTCCCTTCCCTAGAAGCCAGTAAAAGCTTGGCGTAAACGTTCATTGTACAATAAGTGTTGTAAAATTTCAATCTGTCCGTATCGGCAAACTGGAAGTAGCTGCACGACTGGTTTTAAAAATTGCTTACACTGTAAAACTCAACACTTTCACGCTTTAGCCAAATATAAAACCATTCTCTTATATAAAAGCCAAGAAAAGCTTGACGAAAGTTGGACGGGCGGGTGCCGTTGGAGACGCAGGTGACAATGCATTTTTTTCATGTGTCAGTAACTTGATTTGAATTTGCCAAAAGAGGATACTCAAGATCACAGAGCATGCGGTTTTTGTCATTTCTAATGCTGAGAGTCCCATCTTACTTAAGCAACGCACTTAAAAAGAGAAAAGACCAATTACTCCTGAATTAATTTCACACCAGGAATATTCTCAAAACGTGTTTTAATCTTTACTTAAATTTAACACTGTTTCATGTGTGTGAGGTTTGTACAATATAATGGCTCGTTTCTGAACTTTAACCAAATTATTACCTCCTGAAAATAGCCCAACCGTGCAATTTTGACTTTGTTGAGAAATTTTTAGTATCTATGGATAAAAAAGGACACTCTTAACAAATCATTCTGTTTGGAAGTAAACTAAACTATATATTGTTTATCGGATACACATTACTAGTATTTCATTTTTGTAAAAGACGTTCTTTAATGCAAAATTAGCAAAAACATGTTCAATGCAATTCGTATCAAAATGCTTTGAACGGCATCATTTAGAATTGAATATAATTTTGATTTGATGGAGTATTAAAATATTTGAAACTTGTTTGAAGTACAAAAATGTATATATATAAAGACTTTTAGATATTCAAGTTGCTGTAGTATTTGACACTTTTTGGATTTTGGAGAGTGAAACAAATCCTTGGGAAATTGTCCCTACCTCCTTGTATATTTGTCCCTACCTCCTTATATATTTGTCCTTACCTCCTTATATATTTGTCCCTACCTCCTTATATATTTGTCCCTACCTCCTTATATATTTGTACTACATGGATATGGGAATAGCCAATACATTCTTCTTACTTTTTGTAGTCTTTGGTTTAACAGTCAGTTCTTGTTTAAGCTTAGCTACTTTATCTTGGAGAACACTTTCGGCCATTGTAGTATGTTCAACAGCCATCTTGGTTGTGGTTTCCGGTAAAGAACCGCTGTTTTGAGGTAAATAGCAGTAGGTATTTTCATTCAGTTGTACTGGGGATGATTGTACGACAGGACATTCATATGAATCAACTGTAAAATCATTGTTAAACAAATCTCATATTACTGACATGTTATAATAATGTATACATTATAGTTTATACTTCATTCGAATCACTATTTCAGTCTACATATTAAAAGATATTTACCGGAGGAACATATCTGTGTGTCTTTTTGGAAAACATTTTTGTTTAAGTTCATTGTGCCTCCCGTTTTTTTTTATATTTCATGGTGTTTCCCATCGTTTTAGTTCGTGGCTTTTTCCATTGTTTTAGCACGGGAGACACCACAAACTAAAAATACAGGAAACACCACGGACTAAAACAACGGAAGACACCACGAACTAAAACAATGGGAAAACACCCCGAACTAAAACAACGGGAGACCCCACGAACTAAAACAATGGGAAACACTACGCACTTAAACAACGAGAGACACCACGAACTAAAACAACGGGAGACACCACAAACTAAAACAACAGGAGACGCTACGAACCAAAACTACGGGAAACACCACGAACTAAAACAACGGAAGACCCCACGAACTAAAACAATAGGAAACACCACGAACAAAAACAACAGGAGACACCACGAACTAAAACAATGCGATACACCACGAACTTAAAAAACGGGAGACACCACAAATTCAAATAATGGGAGACCACACTTACTCAAACAATGGGAAATACCACAAACTAAGACAACAGGAAACACCACGAACTAAAACAACGGGAGACACCATGAACTAAAATAATGAAAAACACCACGTACTTAAACATTGGGAGACACCACGAACTAAAACAGTGGGACACACCACGAATTAAAACTACGGGAAACACCACGAATCAAAACAACGGGAAACCCCATGAACTAAAATAATGGGAAACACCACGAACTTAAACAACGGGAGATACCACGAACTAAAACAAGGGGAAGCACCAAGAACTAAAACAAAGGCAGACCAAAGGAATTAAAACAAAGGGAGACAGCACGAATTGAAAATACTGGAGACACCATGAACTAAAACAACGGAAAACACTACGAACTTAAACAACGGGAGACACCACGAACTAAAACAATAGGAGACACATCGAACTATTACCACGGGAAACACCACGAACTAAAACAATTGGAAACACCACGAACTAAAACAATGGGAAACACCAGGAACTAAAACAATGGGAGACACCACTTACTCAAACAACGGGAAACACCACGAAATAAAACAACGGGAAACACCACGAACTAAAATAACGGGAGACACCACGAATTAAAACTATGGAAAACATCACGAACTAAAATAACGGGAGACCCCACGAACTAAAACAATGAACAATGGAAAACACTACGAACTTAAACAACGGGAGACACCATGAACTAAAACAACAGGAGACATCACGAATTAAAACTACGGGTAATTCCCGCTCGATATTTGCATTCCTGGCTATTGATTCATCTCCAATGCACTTGAAATTTGGTATTGGCTGCTTCTCCGCTAAGCATGCGGTATCTAATATAAGTTAAAAAAAATGGTCGACTCGGAGTCAAAATAATGTTTCTTGAAGGATGACATGATTAAAATACACCAGGAATGTTTAAAGCTTGATTTTAAAAAAGCCAAAGAGTTGCCAAGACATTGATATAACAGAAACTTAAGGGTGGCCAAAAACGTACGGTAGGTTAATTTTATGACAGGAAATTGGAACGATTTCAATATTTTTCCAATCAATATGTATTAAAATGTAAGTATGTATTCCCCATTTCCATTCTCAATTTTAAATATCATTCCAGTACATATGAACTGACCCCTATGCGTTTGATACCGTCGGATATGTCTAAATTATTATTTACTACCAGTATTGACCATTTAATAGTATAAAATCAAACATCATTTTCGTAGTTGGAAGTTATTTTTTGTTTTTATCTTCGCACTGTCCTAGATTACGGTCTTTCATAAACATCCGGAACCAAACGTGTATAGAAACACGCACTGCATAGGTTTTGATGAGCTATTGTTACGTAACGTCCAGTGGCAAATATATCATACATGTTCAGGACGATGCACTGCATAGGAACCAATTCCAAGTTGTAGATCTCGATCGGTTAGCAACATTTGCTAAAATAGACACCAGTCCATTAGACATATAGAAAACTAACTACATATTAAATGATATCCTTTTCTTGGCCCAGTCTTTGTGTTTTAAAATAATAAGTTTATGAATTATCTACTTACATTTAACAAATATTGCCAAGGTGTCTGCTAGAATATCATTTCTGTCTGAAATGTACGTAAGATGTATCTGAGTCACATGTCAGTGCGTTATTTTTCATCTCTTCTTATTCAAGATTTAAAAAAAAAATATTATGGTTATGCAAGATGATGATGATGAATGGATGCTTAACGTCCAGCGGTGGTTATGCAAGATGTATAATATTTAATTCATAAGGCAAGATCACATTTCATACACCGGCTTCATTATTTGAATTCCACTTTAAAAATTAAGTGGCAGTCAACTCGATTACTCGATTCCACTGTACAAGAGTCAACACAATTTAAAAAATATAAACATAGACATTTTTATGCAAATTGACTAGACATACTCACAGAATAAGGCACTTTAATAATCAAGCAAACTTTTTAAATCCATTATCATAGAATATTAGCTCGTTCAGGGATTTGTCGATAAAACCAGATCAATAATATATGTTGTAATATTTACAGAAAGTGTTCAGTTTGTACATATAATAATAAACCTTTGGTTAAAGACGAATCACCCGATTCCGTCATAATTTTATGCTTTCAATTTATATAAAAGCAACCCAAAAATCAATACTATTTTCCCACATTGTTCTGTACTTGCGGCAAACTGACACATGCTTATAAAAATTGCAAGTTTTATCTATTTGAAAAAAGTAGTTGACCTCGTTGTATACTATGTGATAATTATTGAAATTCAATAAATATCTTACGAGTTATCTACTTTCAATCGTCATTTACATTATGTAACTTTATGACGCACAACTGAACTGATTTTTATAGGTTTTATAAAGAGTAAGAATATTGTGTCTAAACTACCCCGGCAAAAAATGTTTGGACTCAATAGTATCTAATATCCGGTACGGTGACGGACCATCAACAGACAGAGAAAAGATAGAAATTCTGTTTATTTATTTGTTATTTTTATGATATTGAAGACTATACATACACATATAACTATTTTCGATTGTTAGATGTTATATTGTCTACAAGCGTTTTAGATTAATGGAGAAATAAGTGAAAAAGGCACATCATAAGTGTGAATTGAGTGAACCTTGCCTCTAACTCTTTTAATGTTTCGTTAAATTGTGCACATTGTACGGAAAGAAAGGTACCAAAAGAAAGATATTAACATGGAGATTGCAAGACTAGTCACTTTTAGTACCTCACTATTTTTATTTCTGTGCATGAAACGAAAGAAATGGGTCCTGTCAAAAAGAAAGGACCCGGTTTTGTCAATGTTGTTTACTACATAAGGACCCGATTTTGTCTTTGTAAAGGACCCGGTTTTGTTTTGTTTTGAAACCACAAATTTATGAAAAGCAACGTTAACACGGATCTGAATATTTTCCGTCGAAGGACATTCAATGTATGAGACATATACATGTTATTGTAAAACAAACCTGTCGTATTAAAATTTATTTAAACGGGAACTTTTCGAAATAGGGAGTACACATTTTTCGAATGATATACGTATACCTTATTGTAATTATCTTCGAAGTAAGTTTAAATTGAATATAAATACGTTATAGCATGCACTAACTTTAATTCTTTTATAACATTATGGTATAAAAAAGGAAATGTGGTAAGATTGCCAATGAAACAACTATCCATCCAAGTTCAAGTGATGTGGATGTAAGCAATTATAGGCAACAGTACGGGCTTCAACAGTAAGAAAAACCCATACCGTATAGTCGGCTATAAAAAGTCCCGACATGAAAAATACGAAACAATTCAATTGAGAAAACTAGCAGCCTAATTTATAACAAAACAATTTACGAAAAACAAATATGATGGACATAAACCAACGACAACCTCTGAACTACAGGCTCCCGACTTGGGACTGGCATATAAAGAATATAGCGGGGTTAAACATGTTTGTGAGCGTTCAACCCTCCCTTAACCTGGGACAGTGGTGTAACAGCATAACATAGGAACAAACTATAAAAATCAGTTGAAAAAGGCTTAACTCATTCGATTACAGAGCCTGCAAAGTTAATGCGCGATTGACACTCAAAGTTGGCGGATGTCTCTGTTTTCTCGTTTCTTATTCAATTTTATGATGGTATACGATACAGTTATTTTATGAGTCGCGGATCCAGGGAGTGTAGTGGGTGTACGCCCCCCTTTGATGGCCAGAAATAAATATATATTATGTTTTTTCACGATTTATTATATATGATTTTTTAATATAAAATCGTCAAAAAAAAAAGAATAATAAAATAATCATTACTGCATTTTCTTGATGGCCTTAGACTATCACACTAGTTTGTACTTAGTACAATAGTTACAAGGAGGCGTAAAAAGATTCCAAACGTATAATTATTTTGATCCTTTTCGCCGCATGGCAATTCATTTTCTAAGGCGATTCTGCATACATATACATTTGTCTTATTCTCTTGCTTTATAATAAACATTTAGTGTTCAGAATATTTATTTCCAAACGATCATACTGCCCTCTCCCCCTCCCCTAAAGGTAGAGTGGAATATTTATTAAGATAACCATCCTTTTGTCCAAGAAAATTACATATCAAATATGCGTCCTTCAATTTTCAAGGCCGTGCTCTATCCAACTTTGAACACTTAAATTTACATAATTCATACAAACAACTCAAATTGCGTTTCAACCTTCATTTCTTGGTATTTCGCCGTTAAAGTATTCGTTTTTATACAAAGCAAAATTAAAATTATTTTTCTTCCAATAAAGCAGGAATTCAAGTGTTTACGGATTCAAATAAATAATAAGTTATCCTCTGAAAGAAATCGTTTTCCAGAGAGCCACCAAACTCCTGATTATGCATTATTTTCTATGAAAAAAACAAACGGGATTCTGTTTTGTGAAATGTTAGGACGAAACCGGGTCGTACACATTGACAAAACCGGGTCCTTCCATTTTGACATGACCCATTTCGTTCGTTCCATGCAGAGAAATACAAATAGTGAGGTGCTCAAAGTGACTAGTTCTGCAATCACTTTGTTAATATCTTTCTTTTTGTACCTTTCTTAAACGAGATATCAAACAAATTCGAGACAAGGTTCATTCAATTCACCATTTTGATGTGCCTTTTTACTTATTTCTCCATTAATCTATAACGCTTGTAGAAATAAAAAATATTACATCTCACAATCGAAAATAATTATATGTGTATGTTTAGTCTTCAATATCATAAAAATAACAAATAAATAAACAGAAATCCTACCTTTTCCCTGTCTGTTGATGGTCCGTCACCGTAACGGATATTAGATACTATTGAGTCCAAACATTATTTGCCGGGATAGTTCAGTAAATAATTGAATATCACTTGATATCAACTCGTGTTATTTGATTTCAATATACATGATACACGAGCAATTGGCAATTTATAATCATTATTGAAATAAATAACGAAAGTTGATATCAAGCATTATTCAATTGTCACGAGTTGTTTAAATCTTTTTCTCATATGGTCAAAAGAAAATTCTGGTGAAATACTTAGAAGCTTCACTTCAATGTTAGCCCAGTTAGAATTACGGTATTTAAAATATTGTGTCAGGAACCAGACTACTGTTCTTCCGTATTGATGAAACATGTGAGCGTTTTATATATTATTGAAGAAATCACAAATATCTTTTGCCAAGGGTCGGTTGTGACCTTTTAAAGTTATTATTGACCTAACGGATAGCCAAAGAAGATTTTGCGATTTCGTATCGCATTGCAGGATAGGTCAACCAAATTAACGTATTTTTCGCATCACTTCTTCATAACACGGTATACGAGAAATATTCATTCATGTGGGACCACAACCAAAAGAGAATACTGCTTCCATATCGCTGCATAATGTTTGCCGAAGTTTTATAGCTTTAATTTTAGATTTAAAATGTTATCATGTTTTATTTGGTAGATCTGTAAATATAAGATTTGAATACTGCATTTTTTTTTAATTATTCGAAAAAGCAAATGGCCCGTGACTTTATTGGCGAGATGCAAAATCTGAATCGTCACCTTCCTTCATATTTCGAATAAATTTTCCAAAAAAATCCTTACAGGATAGCTTTTTTCGAGAATTGCAGGATAGCTTTTTAGAGGATAATTGCAAGATGATTTTTTAAAGAAGACATTTGCTGGATAGATTTTTTTCGAGAAGAATTGCAGGTTTTAGCTTTTTTAGAGGAAAATTACAGGATAGCTTTTTTCGAGAATTGCAGGACAGCTTTTTTTCGAGAAAAATTGCAGGATAGTTTTTCGGAGTAGAATTGCAGGACAGCTTTTTTCGAGGAGAATTAAAGGATAGCTTTTTTAGAGGAGAATTGCGGGATAGCTTTTTATAGAGGAGAATTGCAGAATAGATTTTTATAGAGGATAATTGCAGGATAGATTTTTTACAGGACAATTGCAAGATATATTTTTCGAGGAGAATTGCAGGATAGTTTGACATTAATAGTTAATTATCAACTATTAGAATAAATAAATACAACTGTCAGGCATACTCTACCATTTGAATATTGACTTCTTGTAGACTGTGGACTGAAGACAATAAACGGTTTCTGAGGTAGGTACAAGTGTTCCCAGTCACAATCCCCGTAGCTATAGATATCTGATACAAACAACCAGCCTTTATCACAACAACATCCTGCATAGTTTGCATTGATGAAGAATCGACGGTAAAATTGAGTCTGTAAATTACCCACATATGCCGTATGCCTGTGTATAAAAAGTATTCAATGATTGAAGTCAGCACATTTTTTAAACAGAAAAAGGCTAATTTGATAATCTATAGTTTAGTATTAAGTAAAATGTTTTTATAAAATATATAAAAACTTATAATCAATATTTATATGATCTTTGTTTATTTAAGGAATGACTGTTATATTTTTTCTGTCTATGAAGAAGTAACATCAAAAATGTGGTGCTCACTGAATAACCCGTGTAGAGGGGTATTTTTAAGTGTGCACCACATTTTTGATGTTATTATGAATAGACAGAAAAAATATTACAGCCATTCCTTATAATTTAATTCTAAATTCCATTTTAAGCCGGAGTAAATCATGAAAAAACGTTGATGACGTCACTGTCACATGACAAAATTATGTCTATGAGCTGAAAGACAAAACACTGTCAGCCAATCAAAAGACGCGTTACATCAGAAATTAAATTATTAGTAATTGAATACGTGCAAATGTAAAAAAAAATCTTGCTCGCAATTGAAAAGTAGATTAATCCTAAATGAAATAAAACGTTATCGATAAATTAGATTTATCTTAGATGAAAATTACACGTTATAGATAAAGTAGATTTATCTTAGATGGAAATAACACGATATAGATAAAGTAGATTTATCTTAGATGGAAATAACACGATATAGATAAAGTAGATTTATCTTAGATGGAAATAACACGATATAGATAAAGTAGATTTATCTTAGATGGAAATAACACGATATAGATAAAGTAGATTTATCATAGATGAAAATAACACGATAAAGATAAGGTAGATCTATCTTAGATGAAAATAATAAAGTAGATTTATCTTAGATGGAAATAACACGATATAGATAAAGTAGATTTATCTTAGATGAAAATAACACGTGATAGATAAAGTAGATTTATCTTAGATGAAAATAACATGTTATAGATAAAAAAGATTTATCTTAGATGAAAATAACACGTGATAGATAAAGTAGATTTATCTTAGATAAAGTAACACGTTATAGATAAAGTAGATTTATCTTAGATGAAAATAACACGTGCTAGATAAAGTAGATTTATCTTAGATGAAAATAACACGATATAGATAAAGTAGATTTATCTTAGATGAAAATAACATGTAATAGATAAAGTAGATTTATCTTAGATGAAAATAACATGTTATAGATAAAGAAGATTTATCTTAGATGAAAAAAACATGTTATAGATAAAGTAGATTTATCTTAGATGAAAAAAAACATGTTATAGATAAAGTAGATTTATCTTAGATGAAAATAACACGATATAGATAAAGTAGATTTATCTTAGATGAAAATAACACATTATAGATAAAGTAGATTTATCTTAGATGAAAAAAACATGTTATAGATAAAGTAGATTTATCTTAGATGGAAATAACACGATATAGATAAAGTAGATTTATCTTAGATGGAAATAACACGATATAGAAAAAGTAGATTTATCTTAGATGGAAATAACACGATATAGATAAAGTAGATTTATCTTAGATGGAAATAACACGATATAGATAAAGTAGATTTATCTTAGATGAAAATAACACGATATAGATAAAGCAGATTTATCTTAGATGAAAATAACACGTTATAGATAAAGTAGATTTATCTTAGATGGAAATAACACGATATAGATAAAGTAGATTTATCTTAGATGAAAATAACACGTGATAGATAAAGTAGATTTATCTTAGATGAAAATAACACGATATAGATAAAGTAGATTTATCTAGATGAAAATAACACGATAAAGATAAGGTAGATTTATCTTAGATGAAAATAATAAAGTAGATTTATCTTAGATGGAAATAACACGATATAGATAAAGTAGATTTATCTTAGATGAAAATAACACGTGAAATATAAAGTATATTTATCTTAGATGAAAATAACATGTTATAGATAAAAAAGATTTATCTTAGATGAAAATAACACGTGATAGATAAAGTAGATTTATCTTAGATAAAGTAACACGTTATAGATAAAGTAGATTAATCTTAGATGAAAATAACACGTGATAAATAAAGTAGATTTATCTTAGATGGAAATAACACGATATAGATAAAGTAGATTTATCTTAGATGAAAATAACATGTAATAGATAAAGTAGATTTATCTTAGATGAAAATAACATGTTATAGATAAAGTAGATTTATCTAAGATGAAAAAAACATGTTATAGATAAAGTAGATTTATCTTAGATGGAAAAAACACGATATAGATAAAGTAGATTTATCTTAGATGGAAATAACACGATAGAGATAAAGCAGATTTATCTTAGATGAAAATAACACGATATAGATAAAGTAGATTTATCTTAGATGAAAATAACACGTTATAGATAAAGTAGATTTATCTTAGATGGAAATAACACGATATAGATAAATTAGATTTATCATAGATGAAAATAACACGTGAAAGATAAAGTAGATTTATCTTAGATGAAAATAACACGATATAGATAAAGTAGATTTATCTAGATGAAAATAACACGATATAGATAAAGTAGATTTATCTAGATGAAAATAACACGATATAGATAAAGTAGATTTATCTTAGATGGAAATAACACGATATAGATAAGGTAGATTTATCTTAGATGAAAATAATAAAGTAGATTTATCTTAGATGGAAATAACACGATATAGATAAAGTAGATTTATCTTAGATGAAAATAATAAAGTAGATTTATCTTAGATGGAAATAACACGATATAGATAAAGTAGATTTATCTTAGATGAAAATAATAAAGTAGATTTATCTTAGATGGAAATAACACGATATAGATAAAGTAGATTTATCTTAGATGAAAATAACACGTTATAGATAAAGTAGATTTATCTTAGATGGAAATAACACGATATAGATTAAGTAGATTTATCTTAGATGAAAATAACACGTGATAGATAAAGTAGATTTATCTTAGATGAAAATAACACGATATAGATAAAGTAGATTTATCTTAGATGAAAATATCACGATATAGATAAAGTAGATTTATCTTAGATGATATAACACGATATAGATAAAGTAGATTTATCTTAGATGACAATAACACGTTATAGTTAAAGTAGATTTATCTTAGATGAAAATAACACGTTATCGATAAAGTAGATTTATATTAGATGAAAATAACACTATATAGATAAAGTAGATTTATCTTAGATGAAATAGCAAGTTATAGATAAAGTAGATTATCTTAGATGGAAATAACACGATATAGATAATGTAGATTTATCTTAGATGAAATAACACGATATAGATAAAGTAGATTTATCTTAGATGAAAATAACACGTTATAGATAAAGTAGATTATCTTAGATGAAAATAACACGTTAAAGATAAAGTAGATTTATCTTAGATGAAAATAACACGATATAAAGTTCGTGGTTTTCTGGATTGACCACTCATCAGGAACGCTTAAACTTATGTATTTGAAATACTTAAAAAAATTGTGAGGAGCTATATGACCAAAAGAATAGCAAAATGATCCAAGCTCAACTATGCATGAGGGAGTTGGGAGCTTAGTTTTCTAAATACTTTCTTAATTTATCAATGGGGAATAAAATAATGTCAAGTACAGAAGTATTTACTACTGAACTGATGATACCATCCAGGACTAACAGTCCCCAGTAGTAATATCGACAAAGTGTTACTAATTGCGCGCTAAATATAATACAATGAACAATAGCACACATTTACCCGCTGATACTGAAATAGTTTGCTGTTGTTGATTGGTCAAGGTCAGTGTAACTGGTATTAAGTAATCTGTTTTTCGCAAACCAGTTTGTCTTACTGCTCCCTACTCCGTTGAACAGGAAAAATGCTCTTTCGGATCCATTCTTGTATACGGAGACTCTCACCTGTAGTCATAACAACTGGTATTATTGAAAGCACAGTTCATGCAACTAGTTATGACGGAAATTACAACATGAAATATGTGGTATGTGGTAGTACAACGCTTTTGTTAACTACTTTGCAATTAAACAAACTAGACATTCAACAGAACATAACATAAAACATCACGCCCCCCCCCCCCCCCTCCCAAAAAATAGAAGAACAAATTAATACAAACAACTGTCCACACTATTAGCAATATGCAAAAATTTGAAGCTAGGGTAAATGAACCCAGTCGGATATCGAGAGTTGTACTCAAGTGCTTAGAATTGGGAAGTCGTTTTTCGATGACAACTTATATCCGTCTAGAATAAAACAGAATTTTTCATTCGCTTTCCCTCATCTCCGTTGAGTCTTAAGTATAAGGATTCCATGATATTTAAAAAAAATATCGTTTTTAAAACTCCTGCATTGGAACATAAGACATAGTATAGAATTGTCCTCTTATTAATGAATTTAAACTTAAAATAGCTTTTTTATAGGAGGGTCTGGAAATGGTGTCCTAAAACATTATGCGTTCTTTAAATTTTTATGGCATTTTTCTTTATCTTTAAATATAACGCTTATTCTGTAAAATTCTAATGAAATGATTTTATTATTTTTTTTCTGTTATTAGATGATTTGTTTATTCTGTACATTAATCACCTCTGTAATCAGTATTGCATTACCTAATTCTTTTATTTTCCAGAGTTATTCTTTATACTTTTGCACCCCATTATTCTCGGTTCTATATTTTGTTTGCTTATTTTTCTCTATGCTGTAAACCCCATCCATCGGGACAATTACCTTTATAGTATATAGATCTACTTTTGAGAAAATGTTGCCACGACGACAGTATACTGACTACATCTATCATACCTGATCTATCTGTAGTGAATCCCAGTAATTTATAATGTCTGATTTGAAATGTTCTTTGATTGGTGTTGTTAGAGATTGTGCTGCACTATTGTCCATATTTAGCGTGCCAGTTCCGACGTAGAGGTCATAAAAACTACCTACACCTGCAGTATAAAACGAAAAGGTCAAAATAAAACCGCTTAAGGATGTACTTAGGTGATCTAAGGTAAAATTAAATAAATCAAGAATTCAAAATTGATTCTTTAAGATGAAAGAGTATTAGTTAAGGATCAAAATAAGCTAAAAATATTGATAGGTCATGGAGCCCCTTTTCGAGATATTTGATTTATGAAATATGGCGGGAAGAGGCTGACTCTGACTTTTACCTTATATTTGCATTGGTATTATTTGGGTCTCAAATCAGAAGAAAGAAAATCAAGAATCTGCTTAAATTTTGTCAAATGACCTTTTATGAGCTATTAATTCTTATGTTAAAAGATAAATAGGTGTTATGGGGCAAAATATTTTACCTTATATTGTATGGAAAAAAACCGAGGAGTCCGAACATTTAACACAAATTCCAAAACCTCACCTAAGTACACCCTTAAATCGTCCAATCTCAACCTTGCTTGGGGAAGTTGCTACCTTACTCTTAGAGCACAATTACACAATTCAATGGGAATTTACTAATGAAGCAAATAATTTAAGCAATGCTAGTATCGAAGCATTAGTTATTGGGCCCCGAAGTGATACCCTCATTAACTGATAGTTAACAAACAGTAGTACCGACCCAGTGGTCATACAAAACAAACAATGTGAATTCCCTCCGTACAACACTAGGTGAATAACCGACATTATGAATGCACGAGACCAGAAAAAAAGGTTATATGTATATTGATTTGAAATATAGGGTGTAACGGGTGCCTGATTTGCATGTAAGTTATACGGTTTTATACAATAATATGTAAAACGTAATGAGAATGGAAAGAGGGAATGTGTCAAAGAGACAACAACCCGACCAAAGAGCAGAAAACAGCTCAATCCCACCAATGGGTCTTCAACCCAGCGAGAAATCCCACACCCGGAGGCGGGCTTCAGCTGGCCCCTAAACAAAAATGTGTACTAGTTCATAGAAAATGACACACTTTCGCCTGAAAGGATACATGTGTTTAAGGCAAGTACTCAAATGTTCCAAACGAAAAAATCTCATGTATTTCAATGTTTACTTTACCTCCAGTTGCCACTTTGAAAACAAGTTTCCAATCTTCTGTGGCCACGGTACAAATCTTCATCATCATCATAAAAATTGGAACTGCAAAATTATAAAACATGCTTTTTAACCGGGTTAACAAGGGTTACATATGGGTTTTGCTAATTGTTGAAGGCCGTACGGTGACCTTTAGTTGTTAACTTATATGTCTTTTGGTGTCTGGTGGAGAATTGTCTCATAACAATCATACCATATCTTCTTATTTTTATATTCTTTATAGTTTGTTTATGGTTATTTAAGTAGAAGTCGTTTCTGTGATAGATTATAATTAAACATGACTTCTTAACCGTTATAGAATATCTAGGTCCACGATGACCACGGGTATATATTTTACTTGTCGTAGCCAGTATACCTTCCCCTTTACCCCCTAATGGGATATCCTACCGTATTTAGTGTAAAATTTAATACTCAGTCATTTTTAAGACTTTAATGATACCTAGATAATTTATATGTACTTACGTTGATGATTTCTTAAATGCCTTATGGTATAGCCATTTACGAATCTTCTATCGTACGAAGCCTTATTACTGACTATTTTAGATCATAATCAAACCAATTTTAAAATGAGAAATACAACAGGTGTCACCAGTAGATCAGCTTATTTTAAAAGTTTCTGTGTAGTGTTTGTTTTGTTGGCAGTTGTTTGTCTGTTTCGTCTTATTTAGGCCTTTGTGTCTTCTATCTTTCTTCAACTTACGATATTATATGACCCCCCACCCCCCTAAACACACACACTGGTATCTTCTTACACAAAATGATATAGAATTATGGTAATGTAATAAGTAAGAGTTTCTTACGTTCTACGGATGCCATCAGCAACACCATTTTCACCATATTAGACCTAAAATAATTATTATACTCTTCATTAAAAAATACAATATGTTGGAAAATATGGACATGGTAGTTGTCGGCTGTTTATGTAGTTCATACGTGTTTTTCGTTTCTCGTTTTTATATAGATTAGACCGTTGGTTTTTCCGTTTGAATGGATTTACACTAGTAATTTTTGGAGCCCTTTATAGCTTGCTGTTCGGTGTGAGCCAATGCTCCGTGTTGAAGGCCGTACCTTGACCTATAATGGTTTACTTTTATAAATTGTAACTTGGATGGAGAGTTGTCTCATTGGCACTCATACCACATCGTCCTATATCTATGGAACGGGAATAAAGGATGAAAATCGTACGAAATATTTAATTTAATTATGTAATAGAGTTTTATTGTTGTTCTTCATCTGAACATACTGGGACGTTTTCAACGATGCATAAAACATACTTTATAGCATGAATTAAATGGTAACAACTGTCGACTTAATCGGTACCCTTAGATATTCATCGACAAACGTTTAAAGATATTCACCGATAAACGTTATACAATTACTGTCTTTTGATGAGGTAAATGTGTGGTTTTATTGACTTTTGAAAAACTGATATTCACTGAGGCCAACGGCCGAAGTGAATGTCACTAGGTTTTTCAAAAGTCAATTAAACCACATATTTACCGAAACAAAAGACAGTAATTGTTTTATTCCATGTTCCGTGCGAGAAAAATATGTATAAAATAACAGTTATTTACCAAAACCAACTAAACGCCAAACAGTGTATCGTTATTATACACGTAAAAGCACGCGACGTTTTGCGCGGTGAATATACTTTTTTCCGCAGGTGAATATGCTTATTTATTTAAAATCCAATTCATATAGAAAAACCTACTAAAGTTCTATCATTATGGAATAATAAGGATATTCACCGATAACCGTTGAAAGATATTCAACGATAAACGTTAAAAGATATTCACGATAAGCGTTAAAAGATATTCACCGATACCCGTAAAAAGATGGAACAGAAATTGGTGGTAAGTAATTAATTCACTAATTCTTTCAGTTTATGTTTAGTAAAGAAAATAAATCACCCTTAATAAAATAAATCCAGCTAATCCGAATAACAAAAATAGTGGGTATCAACTAAAGACAGCAACCAAGCCCTACAGACACATTAAATAACCGACACACAGACAACAACCGACTTAAACATAGACAACATCACAATCATTACATAGACAACAACACATCCCTACAGAGACAACAACCTATCCATGCAGAAACAACAATCCATCCATACACAGACAACAACCCATCCTAACAAAGACATCCATTCCCAACAGAGACAGCAACCCATCCATACAGAGATAACAACCACCCTTACAGAGACATCCAATCTCTACAGAGACAACAATCCACCCAAACAGAGACAGCAATCCATCCATACAGAGATAACAACCACCCCTACAGAGACATCCAATCCCTACATAGACAACACATCCTTACAGAGACAACAACACATTCCTACAGTGACAACAACTCGTCCCTTAAAAGAAAACTACCATCCCCACAGAGCGTTGGTTTTACCTGTTGGAACAAGTTACAATTTCGTTACTGAAGAAGAACATATGGCGAACATGTTAAGTTGAATTTAATCAAATCAAATTTTAACAAACTTTAAATAAATGTTTATGTAAAGCCTCTGATATAAGATTATATTTTTATTCGGCATCACTTACTATTATTTAATTGATAGTTGTACCAGTTCTTACCAGCATCATGTCCATTTACACCATTTTAAGTGATTCTAACATTCTGGTTAATAATATATATATACCGGTACATTGATTGCTTTGTTTTACCTTTGTTTTACCTTTGTTTTATATTAAAAAGAACGGAAGACGATTTCCTGTCAGACGTTATAGGCCTAAATCGACCACATGGAAATAACTTGTCAAAGACATTAATTGTAAAACATTTTCATGATAATCAATAGAGGCTATTTATGTTATTACATTATATTTGCTTAGAGCTAGTCTATACTTCATAATTACTATTTTTGATTGAACTTTGTATCAATGTTTAATTTTAGATACACGCTTACTGATAAAACTAATAAGCTATTTGTACAAACTTTAAAAGTCAATAGTAATTATATCTTCAACAGCATATAAATTATATATGATGAAAATACATATAATAGGCTGAACCATTGAGATTCGTAATAACACGAAACAGCACATAATCAAAAGTCTTTCATTGTCACAAAAATTGATATAATGTCAAAATCTGTTTCATGTTATTACGAATCTCAATGGTTCAGCCCAAATAAATCATGCTCTCCCAGATTTATAGTACACATCCAACGGATTTAGTGTGAAGGCGTCATGAGCAGTCTGGAAAAACCCGACCTTGTGCAATGCAAAAATACTTATACTGACTGGATGTAGTAGGACCAACTAATATATATTGATCTTATCTTGATTTATGAGCTCTATAAACCATATCACCTTAAAAAATTAGGACGTGATATTCCGTTTGTAATATGACATCTAAAGGTACAGTCAAACTTACAAATCTATTTTTCCTGAATTAAAATCATTATCAATTATACATGCCTTACGTTCATTTAAATATAACTTAACGTCACTAAAGCCATGGGCGTAGCAAACTAGGTGGGACATAACACATCGTAAGAAAGGAGCAAAGGACCATCATCGTTTAAAAATGGAAAATTAACAATAGGGATGTATGAGCGCTCATCACTCCTCCTAACCTCGGACAGTGATGTCAAACACAACATTGAAATAACTGTAAAATCAAATAACAAAAAAGACAAAAGACATAAAAAAAACCCGATCTATGTAAAGGCAACAGTAGTATACCGCTGTTCAATAGTCATAAATCGATTAAGTGAAAACAAATCCGGGTTACAAACTAAATCAGAGGAAAACAACGGAACAACCGAAACACTGAACTGCAACAAAAACAAACGCCAACATACATACAAACGGACTATTTGATAACAACTGCCATATTCCTGACTTGGTACAGGACATTTTAAGAATAAATGGTGGGTGGAACCTGGTTTTATGGCTAGCCAAACTTCCCGCTTATATGGCAACGTTAAAAAAATACCGGTAAAATGACAACACTACGTGACAGGAATACAGTACAAATAAACGCAAGAACACTCAGGACAGAGAAGTACATAAATGAATAATATAATAGTACATTACAACATGTAAACCACAGAATAACAACGGACACCTCCCATGAATTTGCGACAGTACACTAGTACACCACAAACGAAGTATAAACTGCGCGTCACACGAATGTATCAACGCCACAACAAGTGACGGATTTTTGTGACGATTATATTATCACAGGTAAATTTCTAAAAATAGAATAGATCCGTTTTATTGTAGACACGTACAAGAATATAGAATTGGGATTGAATTTGTAATGGTGTTATTTTATAAATTTTCTAACCATGACAAAAATATTAAAATGGAATTGTGTTTGTAATGGTGTTATTGTTTGTATTTTTTAACCATGTTGGTTTTACTTATCAATCAAAACTAAGAGTACTTGCAGAATGTAGTGAGGTTTATAATGTTTGTGAACGCTAAACCCTTCCCTTACGTTAAACAGCGGTGTAAAAAATCAGCCAGAAAGGGCTTTTACTTAAACTGTTGGACAGTTTGAAAATAATAACAACTAAAGCTCATTTTCATTCCTGTAATCATCATATAATATTTTTTAATATGAGGCAGGCATTACCTGTGAAAGGGGACGAAGTCTGTATGAATTATTTTATTTAATTCAAACATATTTTAACTTCAAAATCTGTTAAAAAAGAAACGAAAATACCGTAACCGATTTCGGTTCTGTTGTTAGGGATTTTAGTTGTGACGTTATTTATGTTATGACGTCATATTCAATGTAAACAAAGAAACGATATCATCAGGTAACGGTTTTTCATATAAAGACATTCAAGGAATTATTAAAAATGAAATTGGTATCGCGTTCCTTCCTATATTTTACTAGACTGATAAATATATATTTTACTCAAAGACTCATGCAAACGATACCGGAAAATGGAAGTCGATTTCTGCGCAAATGCGGGAAAACAAAAAAGTCTGAAAATAAAAAAGTTAACGATTTTGAGTTCATCAGTAGAATGAAAATTTCGGGAATTTTTCCTGTTTTTTTTTTTTTTTAATTTTATTGATTTTTCTACCGTAATAGGGGACTTTGTCCTCTTAATATGAGGCAGGCGTTATCTGTGAAAGGGGACGAAGTCCGAATCAATTACTTTTTTTTAACATATTTTAATGTTCAAAAAGAAACGGAAATACCGTTACGTTACCGATGTTGGTTCTGTTGTTAGGGATTTTAGATGTGACTAAGCTGGCCCTCGACTGACTACTACCAGAGACATATATACACAGAGATTGGCAACTCCGTGAAATCCCGTTAAAAAACGCGGCCCGGAATGAGATTCTCGTCGATAATTATTCTACAACATGTAGACAAGTCAGGGATGAATAACCTCGATAGCTAATCAAGAAAAGTAATAGGAAAACTTATTTCAGATCAAATGAATTCTTTTTCTAAAAAACTACTTGAAATAGTTGTATTTTTTTTAATGTATTTGATTGAGAAAATATTTTTTTCTTTTTTTCGGCATTTCTTTTAATTTAAAAAGTAAAATCTGGTAATGATCATCATATTACAAGAAACATTTCTTTGCTAAAGTTTGCTTCTAAATTACACAGTGAAATTATGTGTGTCCGATTTTCCGGTCATTATTTCCTTAGAGTTGTGACTGTGGATTCACAGGTGTGCGATTACGCAATTTATTGCCCTCCGATCACCTGAATTTTGCCGGATGTGAAGTTCTAAGTGGATTATTACTTGGTAATTGTTTTTACAACTAAACAAATTCTGACATTATTTTAACCATGACCAGAACTTTATTTTAACAGAAACACTGGGCTATACTATGAATAGGGTAA